TATAACATCCAGATTTTCATCTTGTCAGTAGCATAAAAAATCTTGTTAAAGTGACTAAAGTTACATGCCCACAAAGAACCATCACTGTGGACAAGCCAGTCAGGCGTGCTGATAACTCCACTCTGGACCCCTGAACCATATTCCCTGGAACCACCTGGATGCCAAGGGGAAACTGGCAGCTGTTAGAAAGGGGGAAATCAAAGTCATGTTCACCATAGAACATTATCAAAAAATAAGTAGACTTCTGGTTTCCACTCTGAGGTATAAAGAGCTTGGAAGGTGATACTCTCATCCTTACAGTAAGAAAAAAGATGAACAATCCAAAAAATAAGCAAACCCAACAATTCTTCTTAGATCCATCAGATAATTGAAGTCATGTGGATATGAAATTAACCTTTGCTGTTGCAAACCACTGAGATTTTAGGGGCTTGTTTGTTAGCACAAAGTAACCTGGCCTATCTTGCCTGATACAGATGGGAAAACTCTTTTCCACTCAAAGTGAGACACAAAATCAAAAAGCATTATGAGAAAAAACAGATTTGACCACATAAAAATGTAACTCCTCTAAGTGGCAAAACACACATTAAGCTGAGACATACGGCACACTGGAGTCAGTATTTGCAAGTTACATGACAAGAAGCTGACATCCATAACCATGAAGGTTTCCTAACAAACAATCCAATGGAAAAGAGGGCATACGCGTCAAAATGCAATTCCAAAAGAAAAAATTGGCCAACAAATATGTGAAAAGAGATTCAACTGCAGTAAAACCTAGACTTAAAAATTCAAATGAAAATATTGCCATTGTTCAACCTTTAGGGTATAAAAATTAAAGACATTTATTTTTATATTTTTTATTTTAATTGTTGTTCAAGTACAGTTTTCTGCCTTTTCCCCCCACCCCAGCCCACCCCCCAGTCCTCCCTACCTCACTCCCATTTCCACCCCACCCCTGTTATTGTCCATGTGTCCTTTATACTTATTCCTGCAAACCCTTCACCCTTTTTCCCTGAAATTCCATCCCCTCTCCTTTCTGGTCAATGTCAGCCTATTCTAAATTTCAGCGTCTTTGGTTATATTTTCCTTGTTTGTTTGTTTTGTTGATTAGGTTCCTGTTAAAGGTTAGATCATATGGTATTTATCTTTCACCACCTGATTTATTTCACTTATCATAATGCTTTCCAGGTCCATCCATGCTGTAGCAAAGGGAAGGAGTTCCTTCTTTCTTTCTGCTGCATAGAATCCCATTGTGTAAATGTACCATAGCTTTTTTTTATTTTTAAAAAATTTTATTTTAATCATTGTTCAAGTACAGTTTTCTGTCCTTTATTCCTGTCCAAGCCCATCCACCCATCCATCCCCCACCCCCATTTCACCATCTCCTAGTTTTTGTCCATGTGTCCTTTATATTTGTTCCTGTAAACCCTTCCCATTGTCCACTGAAATTCGCTCCCCTCTCCCCTCTGGTCACTGTCAGCCTGTTCTCTATTGCAGTGTCCTAGGTTATATTTTGCTTGTTTGTTTGTTTTGTTGTTTAGCTTCCTTTAAAGGTGAGATCATATGGTATTTGTCTTTCACCACCTGGCTTATTTTGCTTAGCATAATGCTTTCCAGTTTTATCCATGCTGTAGCAAAGGGCAGAAGTTCCTTCTTTCTTTCTGCTGCATAGAATTCCATTGTGCAAAATGTACCATAGTTTTTTGATCCATTCATTTACTGATGGGCACCTAGGTTGCTTTCAGCACTTGGCTATTGTAAATTGTGCTGCTATGAAGATTGGGGTGCATAGTTCTTTTGGATTGGTGTTTCAGGGTTCTTAGGATATAATCCCAGCAGTGGAATTGCTCAGGCAAAAGGCAGACCCAGTTTTAGTTTTCTGAGGAAACTCCATACTGTTTTCCATAGTGGTTGCACCAGGAAAGATATTTATTTATAACAGGCCTTGATAGGAGGGACAAGGCTACACAGGCACTATCATAACCTCGCAGATGTGCGAATTAGTGCAGACATTTTGGAAAGTAAGAGGACAACATATGTATATGTGCATGTGTATCTCAAAATTTATATTTGCATTTTTAAAATTCCATAAATTTATTCATAGGAATTAATTCTAGGTAGATAATTACAGAAATTTGGGAAAATATCTTTGTAAAGATATTCACACAGCACTGTTTGTTATTGCAAAACAGTTGGAAACAACCGAAATTATATCAGTAGAAGTTTGACTAAGTGAATTGTGGTTTATGTATACAGTGGTATGCTGTGCAACCATTCAAGTAAAAAAGGATGATTTTTAGTCTTTGTCAAGTAAGAGGTTATATTGTATAATGTGTAGAAAAATAAAAGGCAGATCACAGAACAGTAATCGTTCTCAGGATGTGAAATATGCATGCCATGTATGTGTAAAATCTCAGGAAGAACAAACATGAAACTCTTCGGAGGAGTTAATGCTGAATCAAGTTGTTTTTGGTGCAGTGACTCTTGGACTCAGGTGTCAAAGGACAGTTGTGTTTTTACTTTCTACTTGACCAAATAATATGGAATCTGAATGTTTCCACTATCAGATATAACATTTCTGAACAATTTTTAACTGAAGACATTTACATGTGGGGACACGAAGGGAGAAGTCCCAAATGAAAAACAGCTTCCTCACTTGTTAAGGACCCCCTTCTGTCTTGGAGGAAAGGTTCAGGAGGAAACATGCCGAGGTCGACAGTAACAGATAACCCTTTGGGGGTCATAGATAGGACACACTGGGACAGTGCTAAATGCTCAGAGCTAGATGGAGTGGTGAAAATGGTTGTGGTCATGCTCTCAAAATGTCTGCTGGGTTCAGCCCTAGGAAACAGTTCATCCAGACCATTCTAATTAAAGGTAGTTAAATATGAAAAACTGTGAAAAGATGCTGTCTGTCATCCTGGGTCCTTATGGAATAGGTAGAAACACGCCCAACCACAGGAAGGAAGTTTCCAAGATCACTGAGCAGTGGTTACAGCCCACATGCCTGGTTGTCCTTCACAAGAATTTTGCCCTTTGAGAGAAGCTCATTCTCTAACCCCAAAGAGTCTGGAGAACCGAGGGTATCAAGTGAGAGACATACTTTGCCTCTGCTCGTTAGACTATATTGGCTGGCACTGCCCACAAGGCAGGGAGTTTGATGGCCCTATGGAGTTGTGGAGGATAAACCCTCAGCACAAACATCTTCCCTCCCTCTGCTCCACCTGTCAGTCCTACTCTGTCCTCTAACATTGTCTGCTAGCAAGAAGAAGCATAGGAGTAGTTCCCAAGTGACTTTGCATCATTATACCTTTGGCACAACTTAAACATTTTTTCTTCCTACTGGGAAGGGTGAGGCCTAACAAGAACATCAAAGGGGCTATTAGCTGTGTGGCCACAGCTAATGGGAAGTGAGTTCACGGTATGAATTTTGTTCTCGTCTCCCATCCCTGTTCATCCTCCATTTGCTCCACACCCATCTTTGACCTCATCACCCTTCTTTAGTCATCTCATTGGATACTCCTAATTCTCCCATGCTTTCTCATCTCCCATTTTCTCATGTCCTTTCCCAAAATGCTATCCTTCTTTCTCACCCCTTTTGCTCACCGTGCTGTCCATTGCTCCCTATATCCTCACATCTCATCTTCATTGCTCTCTTCCCAATCCTGTCCTACTGCCTCCCTTCATGTCCTTTCCCCTCATCTTCATTTCAGCTCATTCTTACAGTTTCTTGGCTTCAAGAAGGGATCACAGAGAAGCCAGGCTCCAGGTATACCATGGGCCAGTTTTAGGAGTGATACAGTAGAGGGACATCAGAGCAGAACTGCCAGGACAGGTTAGTAGCCTTCCTGAGGAGGCTGGAGAAAAGACACAAATTGGGAATGGATGGTTGAAGGCTGGAGGAACTCAGGTAGAGGGAATCTTCTGCGTGGGAGTTGTACTGATGTATAACTAAGTAAATTCAGAAACAAGCATCACTCCCAGAGACTACATTTATGGATACTTTCTGAACTAGGAGGTTTGGGGGAGAAATGCAGAACTCTGGAGGAGAAGGTTACACTGGACACCCTACAGTGCAAATTCTAAGGACCTGATTGGAGTAATAATGCTTACTTTTTCAAAGGCTTTATCATATATGCGAGAATGGTGACTCACTTAATAAGGGAGAAGATATGGCAGAGGATGGAGAAGAAATGTGCCTTTTTAGACCTGCAGATATGCCACATAGGTATTGATGTAGCTTTTATGCAACAGGCTATTTCCCTCTCTAGATCTTACCTGTCCCCTAAACATCCTATCGGATTTTTTTTGTGCTAGTAAAGAGAAGAAACTGATTTTCTTGGGGGGTGAAAGGTGAACCATAGAATAGAATAATCCTTGGCACTGGTTCAAAAGAGTTTTCTGCACCCTGATCTACAAGGAATATCCCATTTCCCATGAGAAGAAAACCTCCCAGTGATATTCGTGGTTCTTTGGGCTGTGATCAAACAAATAGTCATTGCTTTTAAGTTACTGCTGCCCACACCTACCAGCCTTCCAAGGCTTCAGTGCTGCCTGGGAAGTGAGCATAGCCGAAAACAAGGTAGCAACTTGCTGGGGTAGGGGGCCTTGCTGGGAAGATCGTAACCCCATTTCCCCTTATCTTGCCTGTTCTTCTTAATAGCACATATCACTATAGGATGTCTCAAATATGATGTGTGTTTATGCCATTTATTTTGTCACCCTTCATTAAAATGTGAGTTGCACAAGTGCAGAGATTGTTCACCAGTGCCCCAGAGGAGTGTTTGGATCATACAAGCAACTCGATAAACATTTGTTGCCCAAGCAAATGAATAGATTATGTAGGGATCCTTTGCTGGGCAGATACATAACACAAAATTTTCCAACGTCAGAGTGTATAAATGAATGGTGTGTAATCATTTCTCCAGGTTACTGCTTTGATGGAAAATTTTCCTCAACTCAAAAAAGGCAGGAAAGGATAGGCATTATCAGCCTATCACTGCTCAGGTCAGTGACCACTTCCCCATGAGCACCCTCCACAGGGCACCCTGTACATCAGGGTTTCTAAGGCTATAGACAAGTGGGTTCAGCATGGGGTTGATAACTGTGTTGAAAACCCCAACCCCCTTATCCTTGTCTGAAGACTCCTCTGAACCTAAACGCATGTAGTTGAAGATACCAGTTCCATAGAAGAGGCAAACCACAGTGAGGTGGGAGCCACATGTGGAGAAAGCTTTCTTCCTGCCTTCCACTGAGCGGATTCGTAAAACTGCAGCTGCCACGTGGGTGTAGGAGGTGATGATGAGAACCAGAGGGACACCTGCCATTAGAATACACATGACAAAGAGCAACAGCTCATTGAATTGGATGCTGGAACAGGAGAGCTGGAAGAGCTGTGGGAGGTCACAGTAGAAGTGATTGATGACATTGGGACCACAAAAGTTGAGGGTACTAAGGGCAATAGTGTGGGTGAGTGCATTGCTGATGCCGCAGGCCCAGGACACAGCCACCAGTGATGACTGGACTGTCTGGCTCATGCGGTTGCTGTAGGTGAGGGGCCGGCAGATGGCCAGGAATCGGTCATAGGCCATGGCTGTCAATAGGAAGCAGTCCATCCCAGCCAGAAGGTGGAAGAAGAAGAGTTGGGAGAGGCAGGCTTGATAGGAGATTATACGCCTATGAGACAAGAGACGATCCAACATGGCAGGGACAGTGACAGTGATACACCCAACATCCAGTACTGACAAGTTCCCCAGGAAGAAGTACATGGGGGTGTGGAGTTTGGGCTCGACCAAGATGGCAGCCAAGATGCTCAAGTTGCCCCCAACTGAAACCAGGTAGGCAAAGAGGAAGAGCACAAAGACAAAAGGCCACAGCTCTGGTGTCTCCACCAAGCCCAGTAGAATAAACTCAGTGACAGCAGTTCCATTTGCCTCTGATTCTGGCTCCATGAGAACCTGTAACAAAACATCCCAGTGTGGAAGCCTCAGTTGACTCAGTGTATTTATGCAACATAAGGGTTTACAGCACCTGTGTTCAGAAGTCCCCAATATGTTCCCAGCTTTCCAAGTGATGATTTTCCCTCACCCCCAGCCACATCTCACTCTCTGACCTCCCATCACCCCAAAACCCTCAGCTGAGATGCCTCAAACCACCAATACTTGTTCATCCCATATTCTCCTTATTTTAAGGGTCAGAACACTTGGGGAAAATACATTAATCCTTGTGACTGTGGATATTAGACACTTTGGCCAAGTTCATTCCTCCAAGGTGAGGGACATACTCTCAAATACAAATGCAAAATCCCTTGGTCAGTAAGTTGCCAGTGTCTTGATTTTAATTAAGCCTTTACACTGGACATTGAATGACAGCTTAATAAAACGATGTTTTCTTTTTATAGTATCTGCTACCTGCTTTGCAAGTTAAAATTGTACCATGACCTATGGGTGGCTTCCTGCTTGGGACAGTTCCTTTTCTGCATTGCAAAATTACTTTTCTGCATAACCTTGCACTTGTCCTTGACTCATGCACAGTAGGTACATTGACCAATAGCTCTAAGGGGAGGTTCTCATGTGAAGCAAGTGCATACATAGAAAGCCAGAATGACCTAAGATTTTCACATCTTATAATAAACTCCTGGTCAAAATATATTACTGTACACGTATCTTTATTGCCCATGGAATAAGCAGAGTTACATCTTCACTAAGAGTAATGATATTTCCCTGCAGGGAATACACTAGATTCAGAAGATGGATGTAGCTGGAGTTCAGTGACTCTAACAAAAGGGAACAGCAATGAAAGTCTGTGCTCAGTGGCTAAAAAGGTGGACCTGGTGATCTCTAAAAGGGCCTTAACATTCCAAGAGCACCTGATTGCTGAGATGGTGGGAGGATTCCCCTCAGGCCTGGTCATCACTGAAAAGAGATAAGTGCCTTCCCAATTGACAAGTCAATGGATAGATAACAGTGCTTTACATATATTATCATATTAAAGGACAATTAACTACTGTCTTTTTCCCTTTAGCGTCCCTTTGCACACAAGCATTAGATGGTGATCCCTGATTTTTTACCCCTTTATTCATGCTGTTTTCTCTCCCTGCACAGGTCTCCCTCCAACTCCTGGAAGCCAATTGACTCAAATACTGGCTGCTGAATGACTTCTTTGTGGAAACACTTACATATCAAAAGATTCTCTCTCTCTCTCTCCCTCTCCCCACCCCTTCCTGTCTCCTCTCTCCCTCCCTCAGCTACAACTACACATTATAGTGATAAGGGAACTTATCACTATCTACCTTCTAAGTAAGTCACTACTCTAAAAAGCCTATCTCCCCTACTTTTCCTTAAGACTGATTCAGTTTTCCAATAGCAGTACTTACCATAAAACTTCACATATAGTAGGTAGTCAATATTTCTCAAACAAATAAAGGACAGTTTAAGTGTCCACACGATATCAGAGAAGGAAAGCTCTATCTAGTATGAACTGGAGTAGTCATTGAAGACTTTGTGAACATAATGAATTAGAGCTAAACTTTTATGAATCACTATGACTTAGTGGAGGGATAAAAGCAAGTGCCAGGTGCAAGGCTGCTGCAAGGACTACAGATCTCCTGGTTCTGAAGGAACAGGCAAGGCATGTAACAATCCATACACTGGTATGTTTCTTTCCATATAAATCACCCAGAGAATAAGGCCCTTAGGAGGGGAATGCTTTCCAGACAACTGAGTTATACCCAGGGACAGAAGAGCAGCAAACAGCTGCAGCCAGTCCTAGCATGGCCTGAAGCACAGCTTGCTAGAAATCAATGGGATTCTGGGATGACCTCTGATTGACCAAAGACATCCAGAGTGTTGAAGGGTTCACGGTGATGCCCATCATCAGGAGCCCTTTTGTATCACCATTCTCAGGGCTTTGTATGAGCCCAAGTTCTCCTCATTGAGCTAGGGCAGCTCCCTGCTCTGAAACTGCACCCCAGTCGTCCCTGCTGTCAGGGATAAAGAAGTTCAGCAAGCAGAGTGACAGTAATGAAGGCTCGAGGCTGCCTGATGAAGTCAGTGCCAGTATCATGCAGTGAAGTAGACTTAGCAAATCCCCTCACACTCTCTCCTAAGAGTTCCAGAGGGCAGGCTGGTTTTATCCAGGAAAGGGGGGCATGGGCACAGGGGCCCAGAGAGGATGCAGGCCTCTGTGTTATCATCCCACATGTTTCCCCCAAAGTCTCCTCTTTACAGGGGCATCAGCTGCACCCTGTGTGAAAGTGAGATCCTATGACAGCAGGAGGGCAGTGGATGGGCCCCTGAGGATACTCACCCTGGCATGGGTAGAGAAACCAGGGAGTCTTCTTCAGGAAAGAAGATGAGGAGCTGTGCAGACTCAATTATCTACTCAGAAAGAAAGCAACTGTATAGAGGAAAATGAGGAAAAACAAGTTCATTTCATCTTTAGCCCAGGGCCCTAGTCACTAGGTCTTGTCCCCTGGGGGGTGTCTCAGGAAGCATCCCTCCCAGAAAAGAAGAGACAGGCAGGAGTCATCCAAGACATTTGGAAACAGTTCCAGCCCTTCATGAATATAGCAACAATGTCTTTCATTTGCTTGTATTTGGACTTTCTTTAAAGAGGCCTTTCCTCTCCCCCAGGCATTATGACAGGTAGTTCTGGCAGATGATGTAAGTTTCCCTTAATCATGGGTTGCTGAGGTCTGTAGGGCTTGTCCTCATCCCCCAAGTCCCCCAGGAAGCCAGAAGGGCAATTGAGACCAGAGACAGGTTCCCTAAGGGAGGGCTTTGCTTTGGCAGAGGCCAGCCCCACACAGGGCCTTTCCACAGGAACAAGCTGGTTTTCAGATTTGCCTTAGGCCTGAGAATGAGGTGGGGTGGAGGAGAGGCCAGGAGAGAGACTAAAGGGAGAAACCTTCCTCAAGCCCAGGTCCCTATGAGTTTTCAGGAACGTGGTACCTCCCCTTCAGGGCCTTGTTAGTGGGGGTGGCCTGGGACTGTGCCTCCTGGGCTCCTTTGATGATGCCCGAAGGCGTGACAAAGAGCTCTATGGACCTAGAAGCCTAACTGGGGGCTAACATAAAATTGTCTAGGACAGACCCTTAGAGATGGGGAGGTCTTATGCAGGCTTCAGATTCACAAACAGAAGATGGGGAAAGGTGGAGGAGTGTGTTCCCCCAAGTCCTGTACCCACCAGTAATTCCACATCCCCCATGCCCCAAGGGAGAGTGCTCTCTCCTCTCCCACCAGAGAAGCCTGATGCAGTCAGAAATGCACTGTAGAGAGACTTGATTGTTCGATTATGAGTTGTTTGAACTTGTACAAGCTGCTGCACCCTTCTGGGCCTCAGTTTCCTCATCTGTGAAATGAACATATCTTCTTTCACAGAACATTGCTGTGAAGATTATTAATGAACTAAGATTCATTAAGATACTAATAGAGGTTCAACAAGACATCAGCATACCAACTGGTAACATTTTTATGAGTGCTTGACACAGACACAGGAATGTACTAAGAACCTTGTAGCTCAAAGTCCCTATCCATCCTCACAACAACTCTGTGAAGTAGATTACAGCAGACAGAGCCAATGTGCAGACTCACATCCTGCTCAGCCATTCTTCTGATTTCAGCTGTGGCTGGGATAGAAATTTCCCTGCACGTTTCTGCTCATTGTGAGTTGACAATGTCGCCACTTTCCTGGAATCCTCTGATGCCATGAACAATGGGGTTTGGGAGGTTTCACTAGGTCTGAGCACTTCTAGAGTTCTGATGGCAGAGGACACCTTGAAAATGGGAGACAGGAGCCAATGGATAAATGTCCCACTGCCTCTTCTTCAGACAGTTCTGGGAGGCGTTCTGTATGCTCTTGCCCAATCCAGTCCCTGTAGTCCATAGCAGACACCTCGGGAATGACCCCTCAGTGAGGAATACTCCTTCCTTCTTTGTCTTGCTCTGTCCATAACCTCAGTCTTGCTGCATGGAACCACCTTTCAAATAAATAAACTTCCTCTTGCTTCCTGAAATGACTTCCCATTTAAAATACACTTGCATCTTGTCTTGGGCTGTGTTTGGTGGGAGGGAACCCAGTTCTGACACTTGGTGCTTGGCTAGCCCTAGGAAGCATATTTTCCAGATGAAAATGTGGAAGTGGACCATTCACCACTGCTTGGGTAAGTGGGGTTGGTGGTAACCCCTAGCATAGTTACTGAGACTTGCCTGTGGAAGACTGGGAGGAGGTACAGGTGCAAGACAAAACACAAGGTTATATGTTAACACCAGCGTATTAATAGTATGTGAACCATGATAATTCTAAGAATAGTGGAGTTTCAAGAATATAGGGTGGCCTTTGTTAACTTACTCGGAAGTCTTGAAGAAATAGAATGATGGGCCCCGATCAGCCAACTATCAATTCAGAAGTATACTGTGAAAGCCAGGATACCTCTGTGGCAAGGTTTAATGACACATTAATCTTCTGCTGCCACAAAGCAGACAGTGCTGGGAATTAGACCTTGGAGCTAATTGTAAGGGTGGCAGACCTGCAAGGCATCATGAATGTACGTGTAGCTTCGTTACATCTCCTAAGCTAAATCCAGAGCCCTGATCAGGAGTGAGTGAGACCTTCAGTCCTGGATAGGGATGTTTGACAAGTTGAGCACTAGAATTTTGAACCCTCAGACCTTCCTGAACTTCACTGGCAAAAGCATCCCTGTCCCCATGCTAGAGAAGGTCCACTTCCTTTTGCCTGAAGACCATGAAAAGATCTTATATGAAGCAGATGCCTTACAAGGTGATTCTTGTCCTCCTCAAAAGCTTCTCCCATTTCTCCCCAGTGCCTTCAGAAAAATTTGGGTTAGGTCTAAGTATATTCTGAGAAAGAAAATGTCATCTATAATCCAAGAGGAAATAATTTACTCGCTGAAAAGAATTCCCATACCTGACTGAGGTAGGCTGAATATCGGCCCTCAAAGATA